ACTGTGTAATATAACAATGTCAACAGAAAACAGCAGAATTTAAACAAAGTTACTAATCCTTGGTTGTAAGATTCTCTGAGCAGAAGTAAATGCAGAAATGGATCAAAAGAAATTCCTCAAGAACACAGCACATTGCATCAAGCTAATGCAAAGAAAGAGATACTCAACATTACCACTGAATTTTGACTTTTGCTAATTTACATATCTTAAGCAAGGAGGGGTACAAAATAGAAGGAGACAAAAAGAGAAACACAAGTAAGATTTTAACAATTATACTGCGGTTTATCCTGTGTGGGCAATTTGCAAAAATGGTGGGGACTATTTTTTTTACAAAACTGTATCTCTGTAGTTTCTGATGAAGTGGGTATAGTGATAGACTGCAATCAAAATGCAGCCTGCATTGGGCACTGCCAAAATTGCCTTCTAGAATGTGATTCTGGCCTATACCATGAAGTATAGACCCTTACTATTTATCTTTATGAAATCATCAAAACAGAAGGAGAATGGACAAAGGAGAGCAAGAACTACATTCCATTTATCATCCTTGTCACTCTCAGGATCAGTATCATTAAGATACTTCCAAGTGGGTTTACATTTTGCTTTTTTCCTTTGTTAGGGTTTGGGGAAAATGAAGCAAAACCACCAAACAACAACCCCTAACAAAACAAGACAAAAATGAACAAGGCAGAAAGAACTGTGCAAATAATTGTGCTGGTACAAGATGCTTCACTAAGACAATAGTTGCACAATATGCATTTTGGTTTGTTCACACCTGAAGTGTAGAGGGGCTGAAGGCTAACTAGCCTGAACATGGCTTTTGGTGAAAACCATGGCCTTTCACTACACAACTAGGACAAATGGGCTTTCCAGGGCTCTACATACACCTGGAAGATCATGAACTACTTCTGTAGCTTTATAAGCACAAAATGTTTTCAATAAAAACATATCAGCTGAAGGATTGTGTTTGTTTTAAAACAAGAGCTGTGAAACTCCGCAACACCATATTAGGCAATCACAAACTGAGAGATAATGAAAATGATGGTGCTAAAGATCTAAGCAGATTTAAGTCTAAGATACAAAATTACTTGTGTTAATTAATACCCATTTAAATCCTCCAGTAACCCACAGGAACTAAATAATTATCTCAAAGGACAGCATGTTTAAATTTGCATCTTAAAGGCAGACATACAGCTCAAAAGCTCAATTTGAAGTGAGAAATGAGAACCCATAAATGTCCAACAACTTCAGCTCACTCTCCACTGAATGAAAATTCTTGCCATTGCTTCAGACCTTAATATACTAATTACCCTTTTAAAAGCATCAGCTCAGTGTGTGATTAAATGAGATTTCCAGCTTCCATTAAAAAAAGAAGTCCAGATTTTCAAAGGTGCCGAAAGATTAAAGTCAGATTTTCATAAGCACCAGGTATTTAATTTCTAGTGATTAAAAAACAATACATGTTTTTTGAAATCTTATTCTATGGTCAGGTGTACTAGAACTATAAATTCCTAATGATTTAAAGTTGCTAATGTGTTCCAGAATAAACTTGTGAGAACAGAAGACTAAAGACTGAAAAAGACAAGTAGTTTGGCTCAAATATAAACAAGATAGGTAAACTATAGCATTTAATTTATGTTCAGGAACTCAAAGAAGTCTGTAGGCATTCCAGCTCTCATTTTAATGGGCCAGAATTAGAGCTTCTGTATACCTAATTTGAAACTTGATGCCTAGGTCAGAAGTCTGTGTCTCTGATCAAGCATGCTGAGTGCTAGTTTGAAAGGTCTGTAAATCCTTACATATGCATTCTCCAAAAATCTGGCTTCTTAAAGAGACTTATTGAGACACCTGGCTTTGAAAGCATGTAAAATTACTGGTTCCCAGAAAATAGGTTTTCTATGCTTCTCTCCACATGCCATCTACTCATCTGAAAATTATTGCAGCTTTTATGAGTTTAGCTATGTCTTCATATTTTATATTGCCACAGCCACAACTGGTATTATATATTGTCATCCTAAGTATTTCATTGTAAGATGTTGGTCAGCCACCTTTACAAAGAGAAGGCACATGTCAAAAGATTTTAAATTATCTTTAGGGACAACTGTCAAGAAGAAGAATGAAAGCAGTTTGCTTGTTTCTCTACAGCTGGAGAAAGTTCCCCAGCCAATTTCACTGAAGGCTATAGCATGATGTCTACTGGGGTACTTTGGCTTCTTTATTATAGACAAAAAGAATACATACTATGACCATTAATGACTAAGACTTTTTTTAAATCCAAACCCAATAAAGAATTAGGAACTCTAAGCCTTCCCTTTTTGATGAACATGGTATGCCTTTTATTTTTTTAAACTTAAGAAAATTTTAGTGAGAAAAAAAATCCATAATCTTTGCTTTATTTTAAATAACAGACATACAAATGTTAAGTAAATAATAAACAATAATAATAATAAAGAAATAACAAAATTAGAAAAGGAAAAACCAACTAATATTATTTTACAGATGTGAGCAGATGAGTAAGTACACCACAAAACATACATTTGCCATTTTCATGCTCAGTTCACCATATAAGAGCATTGCAGAAAGTCCTATTTACAGCCTTTAATTCTGGACTTTTCATTGTGTTATATCCTAACTAGCCTATATCTGCTGTTGAATAATGTGGTATTGCTGTTTTGTCATTGTAAACCAAAGACAAGCAAATTGAATGCTGCTGATAAGCACTGACAATAAAGCTTTTATGTGATTTCCTTGGAAAGGTTGTGTGTACATCATGGAGATATTTGCATACATGATGACAAAGGTACTTACACTCCTGTGTAGTCCATGGCTAAATACCTCAGAATCAGAGAGTCACAGACTACTTAAATTGGGAAAGGACCACTGCAGATCACCTATTTCAACCCTTCTGCTCAAAGCACAGTTAACTAGATCAAGTTGCCCAGAGCTGTGTCCAGTCAAATTTTGGTTATATCCAAGAATATAGACCCTACAATCTCTCTGAGAAACCTATTCCAACATTTTTACACTATCACAGTGAAAAAGGTTTTGTTGGATGGAATTTTTTGTATTTCACTTTTTGCCCACTTCTTCTATTCCTGTCAATGAGAAGAATTCAAAATCCACTTCATTATTTCCCACAAGAAACATCCCCCACTCATCTCCCATCAGGTATTTAAATACATTGAAGAGGTCCTCTCAGAGCCTTCTCTAGGCTAGACAATGCCAGCTCTTTCAGCCTCTCCTCATATGATAGACACCCCAATCTTTTAATCACCTCTGTGACCCTTCACTGGACTCGCTTCAGGATGTTCATGTGTCCCTTGTACTGGGGAGCCCAGAACAGGACACAACACTTCAGAAGTGGCCTCACCAATATTACATGAGATAATCACTTTCCAGGTGCAGGACTTTGCATTTTCATTTGTTGAACTGCATGAGGTTCTGTAGGCCCATTTCTCCAGCATGTCAAGATCTTCTGAATAGCAACAGAACCATCTCATGTATCAACTGCTTCTCCAAATTTAGGGTGCACTCTGTCTCATTGTCTCTGACAATGCTGAAGATGTTAAGCAGTACGGCACAAATGACTGGGCTCCAGCTGGATTTTGAACCTCTGATTGCAACCCTTTTGGTCCAGCAATTCAGGCATTTTTATTCCTCATCACTGTCTACTTATGCAGTCCTCATTTGCTCCTTTTGTCTGTGAGGATGTCATGAGAGATTGATAAAAGCCTTTTTAAAGCAAAAATAAACAATATCCATAGCTCTGAATACCTCAGATTACCATGATCTTTCACAGATGAACAACAGTGGCCTCTCAATGTTATGGACCAGTTGCCTCAGTTCTTATAAGTGCATCCCCATCAGATGCCATGCACATGTGCACATTCCATTTGTTGAAATATTTGCTAACCTGATCCTCCTCTACCAAGGATAAGTCTTCACTGCTCCAGGCTTTCCCATAGGTCTCAGGGGCCTGGGATTCTTGAGGGTAAATCTTACCTGTAAACTGAGGTGAAAACAATGTTGTGTAACAGCCTTTTTCATGTTCTGTGTCACCAGGTCACTGCAGCCTTGTTTTCCCTCACTTGCCTTCTGCTGCTGATCTACCTGTAGAAGACTGTCTTATTTCCCTTGATGTCCCTTGAGTGATTCAACTCCAGATGAGCATTGGCTTTGCTGACACCGTTCCTACATACTTGGACAGCATCTCTGTTATCCACCAGAGTCACTTGAACCTGCTTTCACTTCCTGGTATATTAGTTCTTTATATAATTTGAACAAAATTATATATTCAAATTATGATGAATAGATTTCCATTAGAGAACATCCCTTTTGAAAGCTGAGCTGCTGTGCAGGCAAGACCCTGAGAGCAAGTCAAGATACACAGCAGTCTAGAATGAGCCTAAGTGGATCTAAGGTATGAGAGTGCTTGACTGGCAAGGTGCAGCACTGGGCTCCTACAGCACCAAACTCAAGCACACCACAGGATGTGATGAGAAATTTGGATTCAGAGATAGAAAGGAAAGAGAGGAGGTGGCAAGTCCTGTAGAAAGATACTGAAATCAGGTATCTCTTTGTAAGGGTGAAATGGCATAAATGATCTCCCACATTATCAGATGGGAAAAAACCTCATAAACTGGTTGGTTAGCAAGGAAAAAAGAAAAACTGGATTTGTTATTAAATAAAAACTTGTAAGCTGATTCTCAGTTAGTATAAACTGACATAATTCCATTAATATTACTCAGTTAACAGTTTCGCTGCACGAGCTAAGTTCCCTGCTTGGAACCGATGCTGTAGGCTGTCTGTTCCTCACAGGCTGGAACACACACCTTAACTAAAGGTAGGTAACTTTTACCTACACAAGGGTTTCAGGCTCAGACCAAGTGTAAAGTACCTCAGTTTTTTGTAAGCAACTATGTTCAGTTTTCTAACCACAGGTTTCTCCTTCTGGATTCTAACTTTTACAGTACTGTTCTCATTCCTCGACAATGACCACTTACCTTCTTTAACTCTTCCTGAATACTTCTGCCATTTTCCTCTGAGGACAAACTCTCCTTCTGGTTTTCAGGATCTATTCCAAGTTCTGACTCTTGTTCTTCACCAGAAGATGTTTCCTTGTCACTCATTTTAGCAGCAAGCTGAAATAACCTGGATTTAAGCTCCTCCTCCATAAGGTCAGGCTTGATATTCTGGTGCTGATCCTCATTGCTTATATCTGTTTCTGATAAATCATCAAAATCCTACAAAGAAATTAGAAAAAACATATAATTTCTGTGTAGGCATAGAAAAAAAAGAAACAAACAGCTTCCTAAAAATATATACATATGATTACTCTGGAGGGAAGCTAGAAAGAAAGCACACTAAGTGTTCTGATAAAAAAATGCCATGTCTTTACAGAGGAATGCTAGTAAACTCACATTTATTGGATCGTATTTGTCATTCCTTCTTATTTTTATATTGCCTAAAATAGAACTATCAAAATCATTTTCTATCTGTGTGCAACTAATAAAATATGCTTAAATGGCATTTGCCATTTCCGGCACTGCCACCACTTTCAGGCTTGGTGCAGATAAAGTGAGGTGTGGGACTGAAATAACCTATGACCTAGCAGTTGTGTTCAGCTTTCAGTTGAAAGGTGAGCTCACATTCCCTGAGTGCTTGGTCTTGAGCATTATCTATGTTCTTCTTAACAACTACTGGAAACAGGTTTAGAAAAATCTCTCTTTTATTACATGGTGGTGCTTAAGACTGTCAGCATTCCCAGTGATTATTTGCATAGGTGGATCCTGTACAGAGATGACTGTTTTCCAAATGCCAACCCCCTTGGAACAAGTTCAATCTTCAGGAGCACCTCCTTTCCTGACTCTTGGATCCTTAACAGTGGGAGGCTCAGTTAAGTACAGTGGGTGTTATAGGCTTGACCAGAAGTCCCTTACATTGGAGGCTGAAGAGAAGAAAAGCAAAGTCTTTTTGCAAATCTGTTTAGCAGGGCGCCTTCTCAGCATTTAATAAAGTGGAATGGGGGATATTTTTGGCAGACCTTGCAGAAGAGCTGAGAATATTTCATGGTTGTTCAAAAAACTCATGTCCAGGTACATATCAATTCATTTTCTGGATATGTGCTATCTGATTAGGACCCAATTTCCCCTGGTTTCCACTACAGTCCCTGGAGAGAGACAGGCATCTCCCAGAGCAACCTGCTCCACCTATAGTGCTAACTGTCTTCTGGAAATGTTCTCTCCAGGCTGACTGTTAACAGAAAGTTTTGAATCATTAGATAACTGGTTCAGTGTTTCAGCCAAGTACAAAAAGTAAGATGGAATTAGGTGGTTTTAAAAGTGACTAATTGTTTGAAACAGAGCATAATCATGCAAAACCACTCAGAAGGAGGCTATGAAGAATTAAACCTATGACCAGAGTGGTAGGCACATCTCAGTGGGTCTAAGAGGATGATTTGAAGCACTTCTGAGATAGAAAATTATTCCTGTTTTCCTTACGCTCTCGTACTGTGACAGGACCAGACGCTGCTGGAGACGCTAAAAGCTGTGTTCTCTCTACCATTCATTTGGAAATACATAAACAGGAGATTTGCTTTGCACAGTTGCTCTCTCTGCAGCCCAGGCAGCACTGCTTATGGATGAACCAATTTCCTCCAGTTCTCACAGGAAATATTAACCCTGCCAACTCCCTCACAAACCCTACCCACCAAACTGCTTTTAATGGATTGACACATTATGTTCATAATGTCAGTTCTCATCTCCCATACAGAAAACTGTACTGTGGTGTTTAGCACTTTCACAGCATTCTGGATCATTTTTGCCTGCAGTTATTTGTGATTCAATCTAAATTATTGCTTTATAACTCACTTTCAGGATGAAGAAGGATGCTTTTGGAAAATCAGGACTTGAAAGAAGCTACAATAGAAGGGGAACCATGGGTTTATGCTGAAATTCTTTTCCCGAACAATCAGTTTTTTCAGAATAAAAAGCTTTTTCTGCCAAACAAACAACAAAGCTGTTCAATGATCAACAACAAGATCTCAAACAAGTGTGTTTCCACTTTAATTTTACAACATGCTATGATATGCTTCTACATACATGTAGAAGGCTGGTCTCTTTCACCTTTGTAATTAAAAATCATATTTATCATAATGGCACTTCCTCAAATCATAAGATGATTTTTTTTCCCAGACATATCTTGCTTGTCATTCAACAGCTCATTACAAACCCCTGAGCAAAAATCTGCTAACAACAAATACTCATACATCACTAAACTACTATAGAAAACCCCTGAAATCTGTTGCTGAATCAATCAGTTCATCGATTTGTACTCAGGAAAGAAACAGTAATAACTTATGTGATATACAGGATAGAAAGCATGGCTAAACTGTGCACTTGATTTTATGAGAATACAGTTTAGTAAAGATACATCTCATTATACTTGAGCTATTTATGGCTAGGTTTCTAGTCTAAGTTAATTACTGGAATCCCCCTTGATTGTGTGAATTACCTCTATTTGTTTAATAGGTACCTACAGAAACCTACTCTCATCTCCAAAATCACGTGGTTTAGGATTACAGTTCTGAACTTAGGGTGTGCTACTAGGCTTCCTCTAGCAGTGTCTATGCAGGAAAAGCATGGTTTACCTTGAGGTCAAGTCTGCAAGGTAAAGAAGATACTCCCATTCTATGCAGACATTTAAGTAGATCAAGCTTGTAAAGACAAAAATTTGGTATTCTTGTTTAAATAAGCTCACAAATATGTGTATAAAATCTAGTGGAGCAGTGAGGGAGGCTGGCAGTCCAGAGAGGCAGATTTTCCCACATTTCCACCTCACTGTTGTACCATGACATGCTGGTAGAGTTCACAGTGCAGCAAGATGTGTAATTCCTCTGGGGGCTTCTTACCTACACTTGCTTAGCTTTAACTGCTTAGCAGCTTTATCAGAGTAGTAATGCACACATACCCCCATGGAAAGCACCACCAGTTAATTTAAAGAATCCATATTGGCAACAGCAGAATGACAACTTCTCTTGATCCTGAAAAAATACCAGTCTTCCTAGGATCACACACAGCAGCACCTTTTAGGTTAATCTCTACTGCCTCCATACAAAGCTCAGCAAAACCCTGTAAAGCCTTGCAGCTGAGTTCCTATATATTCTGGAGGAAGGCATGGCAGGTCAATATTGCTAAATTGCTCAGATTCAGC